AGCCTATTTGTGTCTTTTTTGACTAATATTCTATGGTTTTCGAATAGAAAAACCCTTGTTTGACTTCAGACAAGTATTATATTTGAAATGACCACAGGAAACTCAGACGTCCTATGTGAGTTTCGAACCGTTTTGCGAATTCTTTTTCGGCTGAGTTTTGATTTCCGGTCCCGCTCAGGAATATAAGAGAAAATGAATTTCATCAAAACAACCATTTATATCGCCAGACACATTCGCTATAGCTTTTAAATTGCCATTTCGATGTCCTGAACTGCGTTTCCATTCTTGAAACGGCTTTTTGATGAAATTTATTTTCCATTATATTCCTGAGAGGGATTAGGGGTCAAAATTTGACGGAAAAAAAGTGGCAGAAACAACTTGAAACTCACATCAGAGATGCCGAAAATCGCGTTTAGGTGAACTCATGGGTCACCCGTACTCCAGTTGATTCCTCTGTGGGTGGATTCCAACTCAAGTTTTGATATTTTTTTCATCTCATCGGACCTATGGTTAGGTTGAGTAGCTTCAACTCTACTCCTGGAGTAACTGAACGGGTAGCCTTGGCCATTGTGACTTTCAGTTTCCTATTATATCTTGATACAAATAAAAACTTAGTTCGCCTACTACTGAACAACAACAAAATCCTGAACCCGAAATTTTATTATCCACTGAAGATGAATTTATTATGATACAACCATTTTCTGATTCATTAAATAAACAAGATAATAATTTTTCAATCAATCAAAAATTTTTAAATTTACAAAGTGAACAATGTACTCCATCTATTGAACTTCTTGAAAATAATATTACATTACCATCAACTCAAGCAGATTCAATCATGATTCATCCATCAGGACAATCAATTCAATCATTTAATTATAATTACAAAAAATTACCTGATTGGAATTTATTGTTGTCCAATGATAATAATTCAACAACAATCGATTCATTACATCAACAATCAACCTCGACTCATTACATATCAAGTAAATTAGCTCATGCACGTAAAGAATTAACTCCTACCGAAAAAAGAAAAATCCACAACCGATCATGCACTTTACGTAAACGTAAAAAATATTATCATCATGAATTGATATTTCGAAATATTGATCGTCGTTTTACAATTAAGCAAATAAAAAATGTTCTTCGACAATAGAATGTCTTATTTTATGCTGTGAATAAATCTACATCAAGTACAACAAATAAAAAAACATTATATGTTGGTATTCGTGAATCATTATTAATCAAAACATATGAAGAACAAACACAAAATCTATTTACAACATAACATTATAATGATTTGAAACCACATCAACATAGATCTTATTCATCATCTCATTTCAATCGTCGTCTTCAACACTAATTATGACATTTACAATATATTAAATTATATGTTCGAATATCTTCATTTATTTCATATATTAACAAACATTAATTCATTAATTAAACAATATACAAATCGACATGTCAGATATCAACGTCTATTCAGATGCATCATTTTTGTTTTCAATTATATCTCAATTACGTCTCATCGAACAGTTATTTTTGTTCCTTTATATTTTTGTTTTTGTGTTTTGAACTTGATTTTCTTTACAGAAACACATGCTGATACGTTATATTATTAGTCATCAGTAAACTCATGTTCGTTTGTATTTTCCTTGTGATTTATTTCTATTACATATGAGTTTTTTTCACGTTATTATTAGTTTTTTTTTCATTTATGAAAACTATTATAACTAGTAACTCTTTTCTGTTTTTTTTTCATTATATAAGATTGTTATTTACATTTATCTTGTTAAACTTCATATCATCGTTCATTACATATATATAGTTTTTTCTCTATATGTAGTTGAATATGTGATAATATAACTATCTCTCATTATGTTATATTTACTCTATGGTTTCTCTATTCTTCTCCATAACTATATATGTTATTATTATTTCTTTTCTTCATTCTTTATCGTTCATTATATATCTCATATTGTTAAACATATGTTTTCTTTCTAACTATTCATTCCCTATTTACATTTACCATAAAAATGTTGATAGGACACATGTTTTTTTCCAGTAGGGGAGTGTTACAGTGAGATGTCGCTCATTTACATATCTTCACTTATCCTCTATCTTCTCTCCTCTATATTCCTTTTTCATTTGTTTTCCTTTTTCTTTTCGTTCTTCACATATATGTATGCGTACACTAGTTGAATTTATTCATTGGAATAAAGATCGGATCGTGTGCAAGTACACACGCTAACAAAAGTGTTCAGCCTTATTCAAATCAGATAATGTCACATTGTGTCAACGATTTAGACTCGATTATGTCATATCATTGCCTGCTTGCTTCTTACTCATTAGTAGAAAGTTGTGCTCTCTTTCACTTCTCTTCACTGATAGTAAAATATACTTGAAGAGAACAGAAAAAGAAAATATTTGCCATTATTACATTTTATTGGCTTTTCAGATCCACATATCGTGAAAACTTCATGACTTATTCAATAGATGATCTTCCTAACGAAATTATCGCCAAAATTTTCTTCTTTATCGATGGAACTCTGTCCGAACTGTTCACTATCTCGCACACTTGTCGTCGTTGGCGGACAGTTATCATTGACGAATGGTTCTTTCAGCAACGCTTTGCTCGTTTCTGCCATATCCATATGATCGGTCACTGGCAGTTTGAAAATGCATCGAAATTAGGACACGATTCGACCGGTATCACCAGCGATGATCGGCTCTCTCTGACTGGCCATCCGCAACAAGAAATATGCTTTCTCGGTCCATGTCTTCTTCTCGATGGTCGTTCGTCAATTAATATTCCCGTTCATGATATTCGACAATATCAAACCGATACATTTTGTGTATCGCTATGGCTCATGGACACGCATCCGGGAGGCATCAGTTGGCGAACAGCTATCGGCTCTTGGCAACATCCATTCAATGCTTGGCTTCATTTGGGTGTCAATCGTCGTGGTGTATTCGAAAATCAAGTAATGATATCAAATGGTTCCGTACATTTCTTTTGTGGTGCTCCGCATCGTATGATGAAAAGCACTTGGTATCATGTTGTGGCTCAAGTTTCTCGTAATAAGCAGCAATTATTTGTTGATGGTCAACTTCAGTGTAATGTTGATATGACTCGAAGAACCGATGGTGTCATTGATTTTCCTCAATACTATCGTTATGAAGAGCGATGGCAAGATCAACAGATGCAAATGCCTCTCACGTTGCATATTGGTGTCAAGACCACAATGGAAAATTTCTGGCATGGACGCATTGCCGATGTTGCAATATTTGATCGATGGCTCGACCCGATCGAGATTCAAACCATTTGGAAGCAGCGTGCCCCACTAATTACATTGAATACTATGGGTCAATACATTTTGAGCAATCTTCAAAGTCTACAATCACTTGACAATTAACTGACATTTCAAGTCCCAGATCAAGAAGTACAGGCCGGTTCCGGCAGAAAAAAACCGGAAATCACTGAAAAATGAAAGCAGTATTCTGCCTGAAATTTTTCGGAAATTTTTCGATGATTTTTGATCGGTTCCTGCCGAAAAGCACGGAAAGCTGGCAGGAATCCACCGGAAAAAATTCGGCCAATTTTTTGGCCGGAATACTGCTTTCATGTTCCAGCGATTTCGGGTGTTTTTCTACAGGATACGGTAACTTTTCCGCATCTTTCCTGCAAGCTCCTGCGGAATCCGGTGGCTGGAATCTTCGATCTGGGGTAATTTCAAAAACAAACATCAGTGATAATTATGCCTAAGATGGTTGTTGTTTCGGATCATTTGTTCTTGATGGATTTTAAAAGAAATAATGTGAAATCGAATAGGATTCGTATATTGAAAAGGGTATGGATGTGGATGGGATGTGGGTGTGGGAGGTGGGTGTGGGCGTAGTGTGTGGTTTCGGTGTGAGACGTGTGTGTGAATGTGGTTGGTGTGTGGAGCGTGAGTATGGTGTCGGTGTGGGTGTCGTTAAAAAGATCGTCCATAGATCCACATCCACACCCACACCCATTTTTTGCTTTCTTCCATGTAATACCTTGTATTTAAAACGCTTTTGAAAATCGTTTCGTTACAGGTTGTACTCATCTCATATGTGCCTCCTACTTATGAAAACAAACAGTTTTACTCCATTGCTACGTTTTGGACTCGATTAAACATGTTTAATCTTTTGGATGAACGCAGTATTGACAAAAAAAAACAAATTTAACCAGATTCTTTGATCCAAATTATGTTTTGGCAAAAACTCTGATAGTTTTCATGATCATGTATATCGTGTTTGTTGTAGAACTTCTGTTCTAATAAATATAACATGACATTTTCTATCTACCGTAATTATGGTAGCAAATAATATTCCACCCAAATTGTCTCCTATTAGTCTAAATCATTTGGTTCTGTAAAGACCTTACTGATATACTCCAACACCTTTAAAATCGATGGAGCAGATTAAAATCGATTATCGATGACAACCGGATTTCAGTTGAGTCAATCGTGAGTAATAAATGGAAAAATCCATCAATATGTTTTATCGATTCAGATTTCAATCGATTAAAAACATTAAAATCGATTATGGATGAAAATCAGATTTCAGTCTCGCCAATCGTAACTAATCAATGGCAAATCCATCAATATGATTTTCGTCAATTCAGATTTTATTCAATGAAAAAAATTAAAATCGATTATCGATAAAAACCCAGTTTCAGTTGACTCATCGTAACTAATCAATAGAAAATCTATCAATTCGATTTTCATCGGTTCAGATTTTAATCAATTAAAGAAAGTTATTAGGATAATCCCTGCGGGATTAAAATATGAAACACGATCTAGATATCGTTTTTAATTCTCTGAAAACTGGTCTTTTTTATGTATATTGAGGTATATTTTCCCATCATTGTTTACTTTAGAATATAGAATTTCAACAAGCAAATACTCCATATACGTTCCAATTAGATGTCAGTTATACATGATCTCTGGTAGTTCCTTGAAGCCGTATGTCGCAGTCTGTGATGGATTCGGAGCCTGTCTCAGTGTTGCAACCGGTAACGGTAAACGGCAGGTCCGATCCGGTCTAGGATTCCTTACCGACCGGTAAAAATGAACTTTTTTCCAGACCGGCCGATCTAGAATTTTTTAAATTTTTTTCTTATTTTTTCCTCATTTTCTTGCCAAAATTGAGTATAGAAATGTTTATTTTTAAATATCAAACTAGTTTTATTGGTATCCATGACAATTTCTACGGAAAAACATGGATTAGACTGTTTATATTTAGTCAATATTCATCGAAATACACTTCATATATTTTATCAAGTCATTTCATTTCCAAGTTCTATGATCAAAAGAATATGGAGCGGTGGTTTGTCAGTGTAATTTATTAGCATTTCCCTCTAATTTGTATTATTTGTATTATGTTCTTCCGTTACAGCTCTAGTGAAAAGCTTCATAAGTTTTCACTCTGCTATCACTATGTGACAAAAGCATGCTAATTTGAATCTATTTTATCTAAGCTTATATAGACATTAAAGTCCCAAAAAACTAATTGTTCTTGAAGATTTGAGTAAGCGTGGAGTAAAGTGAAACATTCGGTGTTTATTGTCAGACAGTCTTATATAAATATGAGCAAAAAATAATATGCTTCCGACAAATTTTAATACTAGACTCTGCATGGCTAAGAATATATGAAGAATAGCTTTGACCTAGACTCTAAGTCAGTTAAAATGCGCAGTCTTTGCTGTTCACTTAAGGAAACTGTAATGTGCAAATCACAGACCATGCCGAAATTGAAAGCCAGCATGCCAGAAAAACTACCAAACCGTTGTGGACATCCAAATCTCTGTCGGAAAACTGAAAGAGCATCAAAAGGAAGGTTTTTCACGATTTTCGGAATCAGATGAGGGGATAGGACTGCATTTCTCACGATATCCTTGAATACTTCTATTGACAATAACGTGTCAGAAAGGCTCCTGAGTGGTGAAACCGAAGTCTTGAGTGATTTGTGTTGTAATTCAGAGATAGGTATGACTCATAGAAGACGAGAAAACTCCACGATGACTCATACCGGTCTACCGGCCGGTCCGATCTGATCGGTTTAGACCGGTATCGGTACCGGTCTAGAAACAATCCTACCGGTTGCAACACTGATACAGGTAGG